TAGTGTTCATCTTATGCAAAGTTATCTTCCTTGTGGATGCATCTAGCTTGTATGATTTATGCTAAATGATATCTCACCATTGTTGTGAATTTATCTGATGCAGGTGGTTTGCCAAGAGATTTTTACATCCTGCAGTTGTTTCAATCTATGATTACATTTTCCTTTGGGATGAAGATTTGGGTGTGGAGAATTTCCATCCTGGAAGGTAGGATGATTGCACGAGGTTGACGTTGGCTTTCTGTTTATCTTATATTTTTAATCCACCAATAGATACATTTGATACAAGTCATTCACTCCTGGTGAGTGTTGTGAATATATTTTCTATTTGCTCGTTTTGTAGAAATAAAACAGATCTAATCATTTGATATCTCCTGGTGGATTATTGTGAACAATGATCCTATGAACTCCTTTCTTAGAAATAGGCAGATGTTATCATTTTAATATAAATCAGTATGAGTTTGTTTCTATGATCCTGGATATTTTTCCTCTCCTATTTTATTTCTCAAGCATTTGGTGTCAAAAGTCCTGACATGTTTCCTTGGGCATTCCGTGCTTTGAGGAGATAAACAGTAGTTGCTTCATTTAGTATCTACAGTTTATTGTATTTACATTATCATGTCAATGGATGATTTCTATTACTTACTCTGTTAACCAGGCTTCCTTTTTTATGGGGCTTCCTGCTCTAGAAGGATGGTTGTTAATTTTATGAAAGCAACAAGTCTTACATGCCTCTTTGCTAATTATAATTTTCTTTCAATTGCATCCTTTTGTTATTAGGTACCTTGAAATAGTTAAATCTGAAGGACTGGAAATTTCTCAGCCAGCTTTAGACCCGAATTCAACTGGTATCCATCATAGAATCACAATACGAAGCAGAACAAATAGGTTCCACAGGTAAGTCCGCCTGGCTATTTAACCACCCAAATTCAACCTCCTTTGGGTGAATATTGATGCACAATTCCTTTTTGCAGAAGGGTCTACGATATTAGAGGTAGTACAAAGTGTTCAGCCGAAAGCGAAGGTCCCCCATGCAGCGGGTAAGTGTAACACAATTACTGGATCAGACTGTTATGAGCCTTTGGGCATTGGTTGGTCAGGATAAGTTTTTGCATCAGTTCCTGATGTTCAAAATGACCTTGTTGTATACTCTCTTCCTACAATTTTGTTCTACAAAAAAAGATTTTGAGAATATTTAACTTCTCGAGTGCCTTGAGGTAGATGCAAGTTCTTCCGGAATTTCTTTACCATGCATTAGCAGAATGGTTGATTCACTCTCCTTTTACAGATTTGTGGAAGGAATGGCTCCTGTCTTTTCCAGATCTGCGTGGCTTTGTGCCTGGCATCTTATACAGGTAGAACTTGGTTTCTCTCTTAGCTGAGATAGGACATTTTCAGGCCTTTATTAAGAACCCTATGCATACACTTAATGATAACATAATCAAGAATATACATGTAAGTTTTGAGGATGGTGTTGGATTTTGATATTTTGATTTTCGATTTGAAAGAGGCAGGCAAAAGTATTCTAGAAGTGTGTTTCGATTGAGTGCCTGAGTTTTTGTCACTTTGTTTAGTTGATCATCCCAATGAGTGGTACGTTTTGAAGAATTCTGGCAGCTTAAAATTAAGAATTCTACTGTGTGTGCCTGTGCTCTAAGTTACATTCTTCTTAGTGGAGTGGGGAGCAGTGTTCTCTAAGAGATGATGACTATGTCTGGTTTGTGTCAGAACTTTAACAGTTCCGTATAAATTGTTGCATTTGCTCATCTTATAATCACATTTTTTTTCATTTTGGATTGAAATGCTTGTATACTGTTAATGTGCTCTAATTAAATTAGCAAAGCTCAGCGATGTTCTTGGATTACTTTTCCACTTGCACTTTTGACATGTCGTGTGGACGCACTATCCACTTTCATTTTCCACTCTCGTATTGATTCATCATCCTGTTTAGATGAGCTGCTAATGGTTGCTCTGTGCCTCTTTCTTGTCAGAATGATCTTGTTCATGGATGGGGAATGGACATGAAACTTGGTTATTGTGCACAGGTGAACTTTCTTTTCGACTTGTTAATTTACAAGATGAACCTCTCATCCCTTCCTGTGGATGTTTTTATGCCTGTTGTCTCCGGAGTGTAAAATAGAATTTCTGGAATGTAAATTGCTATACATTTCTCTTTACTCTTTAAAACTGTCTGTTCTGATACAGCCCTAAACCTGTTTGAATTTTATTATTGTAGGGAGATCGATCCAAAAAGGTGGGAGTAGTTGATAGTGAATATGTAGTGCACCAGAGCATCCAAACTTTGGGCGGACAATCTTTGAAAAAGGTAACTCTCTATATCAATTATCGAAGACTTTCGATTCGTTTTTTGCAACTATCCTCATTAATCATCCCAAATATGTTAGATAAGGTGTTCTTTAAGTCTACAGATAGAGGCTATATCATAATAATTGTGCTGTTTGCTTCTTTGTACCTCCATTGTCCATGCTTTTTTCTATGTGCAGGATTCAAATCCTGAAGAGTCTGTGAAGGTATACATCCAATTCTACTTTGTGCTTGGACAGTTTGATTTTTCCAACATATATCTTCTTCTGCTGATGTTTTAACTGATTCTTGTCCTTGATTTTCATTTTCTTTTCCTTGACCTACAGAGACACGTTGTTGACGTGCGATCTGAGGTGAGTGTCTGCTTATACGACAACATATTCATTTCATTCAACTTTCTTCTTTCATGGCATTGTTCATGTTGTGTGCATTACTATCGTCTATCTGCCCTTCCATTTAGCTTATTTTCAGCTGCCTTCCCATTTGCAGATTCGGAGACAATCAACTTACGAGCTGCAAATATTCAAGGATCGATGGGAACGAGCTGTGAAGCTGGACAAGAACTGGGCGGATCCATTTAAAGGTAGCCAGAGACGTAGACAGCTGTATAAACAAAGGCAAAAATCAAAGGTTAAGAAGCTCAGTTAAGGTTCATAGGTTTATCTCAAATCCAGTCAATGGGGAAAAACAAAAGGTTCATAGGGTTCATGTCTTGTAATTTGTTCTTCTTTTTAGGCCCCATGAATCTCATGATTAGTTCATTACATATATAGGTTTAGTTTCTCCTAATTTTTATACTGAATGTATTTAATAATTTTCTTCTTTTTAACTTTATTTTCTCCACCTTTCTTCACTTCTCTTTTATGTACATCATTTTTTTTTTTTGTAACTAGCCTTGGGTTAACACAATGTTTCTTTTGATTTTAACTTCCTTTTTTTTCTGGTCTGTGGAATTTTTTTCAGTAAAGACCAAAAAATCAAATCTATGAAGTGTTGAGTTAATTAGCACTAATGTTAAATGGGGTCTATATATTGAAGGATTGAAGTTTGGAATCTAAATCCCCAGTTGTATTGAATTTTGATCAATAATGTTTAAGTTAGAGGACCCCAATTTTTGAAATAACCTTTCCACCTCTCTCACTCGTCTCTCTCCTTCCTCTCCCTCTCTTGCCTTCGGCCCTCTCCTATGAATTGCGCGGTGTATAAATTAAAGTTAAACCCTAGGTTGTGAAATTGAAAACCTTTATTTGATCTACCACAACAATGCCACAAGTGAAGTTTGTAGCCAGGAATTTCATGGATATGGTTGCTTCATTCCTTGTGATGAAACTAGATGATGATCGTCTTTCTGCTTCTTTCAAGTGTGTATCTATCTATGCTCGATACACTTAATATATCAATGCATATTTGATATTGGCTTATTTGATGGATGTATTAGTGCATATATAAATACAAGATACATGTATCTACTCAAAGATAAAACTAAATACATCGCAGATACACTGTACACTAGATATTTGATATCGGATACATTATATGAAATTGGTATTGGATACAGGGGAGGCTCAACGTAATCGGAAGCCTAAAGTGAAATCTTAATTAGAGGCCTAAAATCTAAATAAACTTCACATGCATTTATTTAAAATTTATTTTTCTTACATTTTTAAATGCAAAGTATTACTTTATATTTTTTTTATATATATAAATGATTTATTCGATTTCTTTTTCAATTATTAGTTTTAAATAAGATTTTATTAATTCAACGTTGAAAAATATTATTTTACTTTGGCAATCATTATATGAATTGTTAACATAGTTCTACAAGTAATTAGTTGACAAATTTCAAATAAATATAAGAGTTAGAACCATAGCTTTGATGAAGTTGATAATTTGGTTACCCCACATTTTACTATGGTTGTTGTAATGCTTGAAAATCTAAAAAGAAATGGAAAAAGAATTTACAATTCAATTTGTTCAACATTTTTCGACTATTAATTGATATTTTTGACAGAATATTACTCTAACTTATCAACAATTTAAAGAAGAGAGTGTAAAAGGAGTTAAAAAGAAAATAATGTGAGTATTAGTAGATAGAGTGTAAGAAAATAAAACAATATTTTCTTGATTTCTTCTATTTGAATGGGGTTGAGGAGAAAAAAATAATAATTTTAAATATATACTTTTTATCATAAATAATCAATATTTTTTCTATAAAAAATTAACACATAATTTATTCTTGGTAAAAAAATGAGTCCCCTAAAATTGGGGGACTAAGGCCAATGCCTTATTAAAGTATACATAGAGCCGATTGGATACACCAAATGAAATTGATGCCAGACACAAATACACTTATAAAAATTGATACAAGCTTGTATATATATACACAGATACATTGTGAAACACATATACATGGATTGAAAGGAACGAGAGAAGGATAGATGCGAGTGAAATAGAAGAAAGGTGAGCCAGGGTATCCCAAATACATGTGAATTACTCTTCATATACAATGTATTCAGACCAAAACTCGGATATAAATATGTAATTTTCGAAACTAAATAAGCCCACCCAAATCGGCCCAACTAAATCCAAGAAAATAACCCGGCCCACCATCTCCTTCGTCCACATATTACTCCGTCACCTTAATTTCTCTTCCTAGGGTTTAACATAAACCCCTTCTCTCTCTCTCTCTCTCATCGCTGCGTAAAGCTATGAGTTTAATTGCCGGTTCATACGAGAGATTCATTTGGGGATTCAAGTTGAGATCCACCAAAAACGATCAAAATTACGAACTAACCCCTCTCTTCTCCTTCCCTTCACATCTCTCACCAATTAAATGCACCGCCGTCGCCGGTTCTGCTGCTGTATCCGGCGGCGCCGATGACACAATCAAAATCTATGACCTTTCTACTTGCTCAGAAATTGGGTCACTACACCACTCTGCCACCGTTACTTCACTTTCCTTTTTTACCCCTTCTTCATTCTCCTTCCCTCGTAACCTTATTGCCGCTTCTGAAGATGGTTCGGTTTCCATATATGATGCTGATCCTTTTGTTCATCTCAAATCGGTGAAAGTGCATCGTAAGGCAGTGAATTCTATTTGTATTCATCCGTCGGGGAGGTTGGCATTGACTGTTGGAAGAGATGAATGCATGGCTATGGTTAATTTGGTTAGGGGAAGGCGAAGTTTTTATTGCAGGTTGGGAAAAGAAGCTTCTTTAGTTAATTTTAGTGATGGTGGTGAAAAGTTTTTTATGGTTATGGATGATAAGATTTCTGTACATGAATCTGAAGATGCGAAAACTATTCTAGAGCTTGATAGTAAGAAGAGGGTGCTTTGTGCCACTTCTGGGATGGTGAGTTTTCTGGACTATTACTAGATTGAACTCTCCTCAATTTTTGTACTGTTTATTTGATTGACATATTTTGATCACCTACTTACTGTATTGATTATCACTTTCTAGAAGTTGGTTTTACAGGACCATTGCCAAAAAAAAATCCAATATGTATCCATTATGAACGCATGCTTATGTATTCACCTCTTGTAGTTGTGTGCCTCATTACTTTGTGCAAGATCCTTAGACCATTATACTTTGTTAAGAGTGTTTATGAGGTTCAACCAGTAGCAAATAGAATAGCCATCTGTTCCTCTTTCACTGGATTTTGGTTGCAAATTAGTTGATTTTTCCGTCTGTAATGGGATCTTGTTGGTGGGGATATACACTTTTATTTCTTCTTAACCCAAATAACCAGTAGAGAAGCTTATCTAGCTAATCAAAGTCCTCAACCGAAGTTTTCAGAATGCAGTTTAACTATATCTGTTTCTAGCAAATCCTTTCTCTTAGAGTGTTCTTGGTTGCTCAGTGATAAAACACACTTTTAACATGTTCATTAAGTTTCCATGTGGCATATATGGATTAATTGAGATAGCCTGGACTATACTGGAATTTGAAGCATGAGAATGTAGATGGCGTACTGTCAAATAATATAAATAGGATATATAAGATGGAGTCGGGAAGCTTTCTAGTTAGCTTATTTTCTCAGGTGTCATAGACTGTTTTGTTGGTGGTTAAATAGATATTTGCTATACTTAAAGGGCTACAGTTTTCTTAAATATATTAATTTCATATATATATATATATATATATATTTTACTCATTTCTAAAAATGAGTCCCTTGTGTGTGCTTTCTCTTTCTTGTTTAATTTTCAATCCATCATTTTTTTTGTATAATGGTTTTGTTTGGGTCAGCTTGCAATACTTCCATTAATCCACATGTTACCTGCTATTTTCCACCAATGCAGGTGGTAGTTAACTCTACCCAATAGAAATCACCTAGCATTTTGTTTGTATATTCCAGATTCATTGACACCAAAAACCACACCTTTGGTGCTTTCTATCCCATCCTTTTCCCTGCATGTTGTGCATTCTTTTACTTGTCTATCATCTTGCGCTTGGCGTCCTACCATCCCACTTTCAAAGCACCAAGAAAATATTCAAGATTATATACATCATGTAAAGTTTAGTTGTAGGCTCCAGTTTGTTTTTCCTTCCAATTCTTTGATTTACTTCTTGAAGCTGAAAGTAATATTTTACAGCATGGTATTTTGTTTACTGGGGGAGAGGACCGGAGTATTAAAGCTTGGGACATTACTAGTGGAAAAATTGCATATAGCATTGAAGATGCACATTCTACTCGTGTGAAAGGCATTGTTGTGCTACACAAAAACAGTGATGGTGATGCTGAAGATCATCAACACATAGTAGCATCAGCATCATCAGATGGGGTCATACGTGTTTGGGATGTTCGCATGACTAACAAAGATAAGCCAAATCCACTGGCTGAGGTCAATACAAAATCCAGGCTGACTTGTCTGGCTGGATCATCAATCAAATGTGAGTTTTCCTTTGCTATTTGAATTTCCCCTCTTAATGTTTGCCTAATTTTAAATGATTCAGATAGTCACTGCCTTGACTGGTAACTTTTTGAACGGATTAACTTTGCCTATTCTGTTCTGTGGTGCCAAATTTTTTCATTAAAGGTAAAATGAGAATTTTAAAGCTAAATATTTATAAATCTAAAAAAGTGACATTCTTTTTGGGACAAACATAAAAGGAGAGTGTTTCAGATCAATTGAGTTAGGAGTATGAGTACAAAAAATTGCCAATCATTTCTCTTTTTGATAACTACTATAAAAGAATCTATAATCTTTTCATTGGCATTTTTTTAAAATTAACTATTAGCGCTCCATGTGAAAGAAGAGGGATGCTTTGAGTCTAATGCCTAAGATAAAGGACTATTTTGGGCCTTCTCTCGACAAGTGTCCTTGAAAAATAGTTCACAGGAGCTAACCAGCATCTTATCAATTTAGCTGGAAAAAGAGTCGCAATTGTTCAGTTGTAAACATAGGCGTCTGACAGCTATAAATTGCATGGAATTTGCTACCTAAATGATAAAACACTTGACTGATCTTGTTTGTCATTGTCATCTTTCAGCTATGAAAAGACCAGAGGTTGGAAATACTACTTCAAATGGACAACAGCTCGATGCAAGTGAAGAATCCTAGTGCTGTTGTAATTTGCTAATGACAATCACACAGTGTATCTGCCATATTTTTCCTTTAAATTTCCCCCCTTGAAGTTGTTGGAATCATATCAATTTTGCTAGTTAAAGGTGGATCACTCGATATATCTATTTTGTAACGCGTGTATGATTTTAATGAGCATGAAGAGTTATTTCTTGCAGTTAGTATTTATTTTGGTTCCTACACTGATGGGATTTCAATTTTAGTATATTGCTATGTATATGAATGTGCAATTTGTGCTGTCGTTTAACTCATCTCCAAATGATAATCTTTTCATTACATTTTTGTATTTCGTATACTCTTCTGATTCTTTCCTTTAGTTTGTCTAGAAAATGTGACATTTTCAGATTCATAAATTTAACTTTAAAAGGAATGGAGACTTTTCACTTTGAATCTTCTTTTGATTGGATGATGACACCGGCTACTTATCGCAAGGATTCAGTTATCCAAACAAACATGGGTGGACAGATACATTGGTATCTGTGTTGTTGTCGGAGATAAATTAATTGAGGTAAATTAATTGAGGTGCGCGTAAGATATGATTTTTTTCTCATTTATCCAAACAAACATTCAACTTATATATTGATGAGATAGTAGTGCTTAATCAATATTGAATAAAATTTAAAACACCATTGATCTAAACTCAATTGGGAATTTAGACACCAAATTTTGATGTATTTTCTGCGCTTGATACTCGTGATATGTTAAAAATAAATAACTTACACTTTCTTTTATATAATATTTATTTATTAACAATAGGGGTGTTTTTTTGGGTTCAATCCTTTGTGGGTATAAAGTCGCCTTTGTTAGGAGCACTTTACCTTTTATGTGAATTTTTTGACACGAATTTGGATACAGTCGAGCAGCAATAAGGGTAATAGGGTGGATGTCAATGTCTGAAACTTCCTTTTGTTTTCTTTTTATTTTTTCATTCTTTTTCTAGTCAAAAGATATTGGGAAATGGAAACAGGAGAACAAAGACTCATCAGAACCAAAAAATTGGTCAATTTCATACTCCAATTTTAAAAAAGAAAAAAGTGAACAATTTCGTTTTTGCAAAAACGAGTTTAAATACTTTTTAACGATGACTTTTCAAGATTAATTTAGTTTCTTTTAACTATATTTATATTTATTATTAAGACTTTGTTTGCAGCTTCCGCTAAAAAATGTTTAAAAAATCATTGCTAGAAGAGTTAATCCTCCATATTAATTAAGTTTTATTTTATCTTACCGTGGACGAAACTAACATTTGAAAACATATATGATTGCTTTATTGTATTTTCTTATGTGTAATTTTTTTTTTCTTCCAATAACTCTATTATCGGAAAATTTTTAAAAGTAAGAATGGAAAGAATAAAAGAAAATCATACGAGTTAGTCTATATCTATTTCATTAAGAAAGAGAAGAAATGATGCAAGTAAGGAGGAATTTATACCTATACAATTGCTACTCTTATTGATATTGATCAATGAAGGGTGTGTTTGGTATGAAGGAAAATAAGTTGATTTTTGACTTATTTTCTCATGTTTGGTTGGTGAGTAGAAAATATTTTCTGGAAAAAAATTTTAGTGTTTGATTTATGAATGAATTTTTTTTTTGAGAAATATCTTTTATTTTTACTAGAGTAGAAAATAATTTTTGAAATTGAAAATAGTTTTTAAAAACAAACTTAAATTTATTTTGGGGGGTGGGGGGTGGTAGGGGGTGGGTGAAGGGGGTCGAGGGTAGGGGTGAAAATTTGAAATTTTGAAGTTGAAAATATTTTTGAAAAACAAACTTAAAATTTTTTTTTTTTTTTTTGGGGGGGGGGGCTGGTAGGGCGTGGGTGGGTGGTGGTCGAGGGTAGGGGTGAAAAAATGAAATTTTGAAATTGAAAATATTTTTTAAAAACAAACTTGAAATTTTTTTTTTTTTTGGGGGGGGGGGGGCTGGTAGGGGGGTGGGTGGGTGGGGGTCGAGGGTAGGGGTGAAAAAATGAAATTTTGAAATTGAAAATATTTTTTAAAAACAAACTTGAAATTTTATTTTTTTTGGGGGGCGGGGGGGGTTGGTAGGGGGGTGGGGTGGGTGGGGGTCGAGGGTAGGGGTGAAAAAATGAAATTTTGAAATTGAAAATATTTTTTATAAACAAACTTGAAATTTTTTATTTTTTTTGGGGGAGGGGGGGCTGGTAGGGGGTGGGTGGGTGGGGGTCGAGGGGAGGGGTGAAAAAATGAAATTTTGAATTGAAAATATTTTTTAGAAACAAACTTGAATTATTTTTTTTTTTGGGGAGGGGGGGTGGGGGGCTGGTAGGGGGCGGGTGGGTGGGGGTTCTAGGGTTAAAAAAATGAAATTTTGAAGTTGAGAATATTTTTTAAAAACAAATTTAAATTTATTTTTTTGGGGGGGGGGGTGGGGGGTGTTAGGGTTGGGTGGGTGGGGGGCTGGGTAGGAGGTGGGTGGGGGTCGAGGGTAGGGTGAAAAAATGAAATTTTAAATTTGTAAATATTTTTTAAAAATAAACTCAATTTTTTTTTAGGGGTGGGGGTTGGGGGGGGGGGGGTGACCGGAGAGAGGAGTGGGTGATCGAGGATCGGGATGAAAAAATAAAAATTGAAAGTTGAAAATATTTTTCAAAAACAAACTTAATTTTTTTTCTTTTTGAAGGGGGTTGGGGGCTGATAGGGGGGTAGATGGGGGGGGACGAGGGTAGTGGGTAGGGGGTAAAATAATAAAAAATTGAAATTAGAAATATCTTTTAAAAACAATTTTTAATATTTTTTTGGGAGGGGGTGGGGGTAGGGGTGAGGGTGGGGTAAAAAAATTGAATTTAAAAACAGGCTTTAAAATTATTTTATTTTTTTTGGGGGGGGGGAGGGTTGGTTGGGGGTGGTTTGAGGGTAGGGACAAAATAAATTAATTTTTTCAACAAAAAAATAATTGTAATTTGAAGTTGGAAGAGAGTTTTGGAAAATGTTTTCCTTAAGTTTAGAAGGAAAGTCATTTTCCTTAAATTTGAGGAAAATGAGTTGATTTGGAAAACATTTAGCCCAACCAAACATGAGAAAATTGAAAAATATTTTCCGGAAAATGTTTTCCTTCATACCAAACACACCCGAAGACTAAAAATGTTGTCTAATAAAAGCAGGAATTTCATTCTATTTTTACCTCAGCGTATGAAACGATATTGAATCAAGTAGATTAAATTAACTTAAATCAATGCATAAAATAAAGGATTTTATCTCTATATTTACAATAAAGTTATTATCTTAACAATATTGAAACCAAAATCTAAAAAGGTTTATATCATAGGAAAATGAAATATTTGAGAATGTAAAATCTTATATTGAGATCCTGTTTAGAAGCTCTTTACGAAATCAATGAATAACTTAATATTTAGTTCCTAATTTATTCTTGTCATTAATTATAGTTATTTCCCTAATATATTTTTCAAGATATTGTATTTATTATATTCAAAGGGTCACATAGTAAAATTATTCTTCTATTTATAGTTTCTTAAGAAGTGTGCAAAATCAATAATGGACAAATATTGTTGGACAAAAGGAGTAATAAGAAATATACTAGTGGAAACTTGGATTGTCAAAAAATAGTTGAACAAAAAGGAGAGTTATTGTGACATAATAGCAGTATCTACTTGAACAAGAAATACAAGAAACTTGTCCTATTTTAGTTTATCTTTCTCACCCTTTTTGTGTATAAATTTAACATATGAATACTGTTAACACCAACAATATTTTTTGATATGTTGGGATGATCCTTAATATTTAAATATGATGGAAATGACTTTTGATGTATTTTAAAAGTAATTAATTTGATTCTAAGCGATATAAATAAAGAGAATTACTATTTTTGTTATTGAAAATAAAAGTCATCAAGATGTATTGTCAATGAGCTAATAATTACAAAATAAAAGATTTTCTTATATTATTTCACTCGAATTTTAAAATTTATATCAAAATTCTTACATAAAATTACAATTTGAAAAATATATTCAATGGAGTTGGAAAGAAAGACTACAATATCTTGATCACTTTTTAGAATACATTACACACTAGTTAAAAGTCCTTACATTAATAAATGTAATTAATTTTAAAGTAATTTGGTGCATACAAAGATTAAAACTTTATTTAATTTATATGCTAGTACTAATTAATTAAAAATTAAAAACTGACCAAAACCACCCAATTTTATCTTTTCTTTGTTTTCTTCTTTTGTCTTTCTACCTCTCTAGAATTGTAGTGGAATTTTCTTTCTTCTTGTTTTCCTCATTCAAATTACAATAGTTTTCAAGACTCTGCCTTTCTTCCTTCTCTGCTAAGCTTTTTTCACCTATTTTTGCTATTTAGATCTCAACTTTTATACTTTGCTTTCCCTCTGTAAATTTCTTGTTTTGTAGCAAAATTCAGAGAGTGGGAAAGTTTTCTTGAAATGGCCGGCAGTTATGATCATAACCCTTTTGAAGAAGAAGAAGAAGTTAACCCTTTTGCTGTAAGTTCCTTCTTCTTCTTTTTATTTTTCGTTTTGTTTTGTGGTTTAATTCTGAAAGTTGCTATCTTTCTGTTCTGGGGTTTTCCTATTTTGCTGCTATGCAAGTGGAATGTTTGTTATTCTTCACTTGATCAAGTTTTGAGTGATCGTTAAGTGATTCTACTGGTCTGTTTTGTGTGTGTGTGTTTGGGGGTTAACTCGTGATAAGCGGTTTAATTATGAAGTTATGTTCGTTTTGTTTTGTGGGTTTTTCTTTTGTTTATTGGTTTTGCAAATCAATATTTCAATTTAAAAGTGTAGCTGGTGCTTCCTATTTCCCATTCTTTGTTGGATTGATTGATTTGGGACCATCTTAAGTTGTGTGATTGATATTTGTGTAGGTTGACGTTTTATTTGCAAAATATTGAAATATATGATTATGGATTGTTATATACTATGATTAGCAAAAGTTGTTTAGTTTTGGTATACTGAGATATGAGGGAAAGCTCTTCCCTTTCATTGAGTCAAACTCTTAACTGTAATGGTGTCTGAACAGTTAGAAAGTTGGTGTCTAAAGGAAAATGGTTCCTAGTTTTAATTTCAAATGTGTTCCATTATGCAATTGGTAATAATGTTTCCAGTGGTGGTGAATAAGGGAATCCAGGATCATATGTGGATTCGTTCCTTGGCTTAACTTCATCAGATATGTGCAATCTAATATAGTGATTGGCATAAAGGTTGTTGTAGTAAAAGTGATAAGTTCTTTTGTCTGTA